CTAATTTCATTCTTCTGCAGGTAAAGATCCTGTTTTGCTAACACTGTGTATTGAATTATGGTTCCAGTGTATGTTTTTGACACTTTGGTTAAACCTTAGCTGCCCACAGTTGAGTAGATTTGTCTCTGGGTTTTCTGTTGTACATGCCTGTTTTTTTGTGTTAGTGCTATGCCATTTTTGTCAGCGTGGCTTTGTAGTATAATTTGAGGTAATGAATACTTCAGGCCATGCTCTTTATGTATATTGCTTATTTGGTATTTTGTGTTTTCATACAAACTTTGGTATTTTTTCTAATTCTGTAAGGAATACCTTTGTGGTTTTGATGGATTGAAATTTAAATATATGTGCATATCCATGTGTGTCCTCACTAAAGTGTGAACTCACTAAAGTTTTGAAAGTATGACCATCTTCACAATGTTGATTCTGCGGATCTCATGCTGCTTATATCTTGTTCTAGTGTGTTTTGTTTTATAGAGAATGTATTGTTTGAATTTTTGAGGTATTTTTGCTGGTTTTAAGAAAGACACAGGTACGCTTTGTTTTACGGCAGCCACCTGCAATCCTCACGTCTTCCCAGAGTGATTTCGGGACTTTCTGACAGAAGAAATGTCTGGTCGTGTTCTCACTTCCCTCGGTCTGCCTGTCCTGCCCTGTTGTGCTGCTATAAGGCAGAATTTCAGATCTACATTTTATTTAGTAGATCTTTATCTTTTAAGATTTAATAAATCTTTACTAAAGATTTATTAAATCTTTAGTCTCTTATTCTTTTGAAGCAAAAGCAAACGCTAGCTGGTCTCTTATTTCTATCTTATTGTGTTTTGAGACAAGGTTTCGTGTAGCCCAGGCTGGCCCTGAAATGCTGACCTGGAGCTCCTGAACCACCCGCCCTGCTTCCCGAGTGCAGGGGTTACAGGCGTGCTCCTGTGCTCTGGTTTGTTGTTCTGGGGCTCAAACTCCAGGCTGCGTCACGTCACGTCAGGCAAGCACTCTCCCTACTAAGCTATTCCTTCTTTTTTCTCTTTTGAGATTGATTCGCTTTTATTTTATGTATATGAGTATTTGCCTGTGTGTCTGTGTACCATGTGAGTGAAACACCTTCAGAGGCCAGAAGACAGTGGATCCCTGTCTGCTGGTGAGCCTCCATGAACATGGTAGGAATTGAACCCTGGTCCTTGGAAGAGCAGCTAGAGCTCTAACCCCTACAGACCCAGGCTCTGGTTTCCCAAGTTTCTTATGTAACGACTCCTGACTTGAACATTGCCTCCAAGACTGATTGCAAGGCCGACTTTCCACGGCGTATTTAAAGAGTATCTATTTTGTCCTTACGGTGTATAACTTTGTTGAGTGACCGTCCAGGAACCAAGTTCTTGACCCCCGTATTCAATTACTCTGCCGTCCTCATGTTTGAGGGCCTGGCATCTGGTCTGGACGCTCCTCACTGCCCTGCCACCCTCATGGGCTGTAAACAGGCAATGCTCCCCTCCCTCTCAGCTGCCACCCAAGCTGCCTGCAGACAGAGGTCCTGCCTGGCGGAGCCCTCTGCCTGCTGTGAACCTTTCCTTTCCCTTGTTCACATCGCTGCCACCCCTTAGCCAGGCGCTTGCAACAGTGTCCTATTAACCACAACAAAGGCTTGGAGTAAGGGAGGAAGAGGGACCAGGGTGTGATTTCTTGGCTCCCTCTGTGCTGGAAGCCCTTAGTGGAGGCTGACCTGGTGAAATTCTCCAAGCTTCAGCTGTGTGTGTGTTTGGGGGCGTGTTGGGGGGAGCCTTCCCCTGCAGGCGGGGCTTCTCCTAAGGATTTGTCCCTGTGCTCTAACTCCCTTGCCTGGCCAAACCTGAATGGCTTTGAGAGAGTATTTGCTCTACGAGGATGTTCTTTGCAGCATCCTGGTTAACCTTCCTGGCATCCAACTACTGCCTTTATCCCAGATGCCGCCGCAATGGCCCACGGGCCAAAAATAAGGCTTATTTGTTGAGCAGTCATGATCTGGAGCCAGAAGCCAGCATGCTCCTGGTGGCACCGCTGTACACTGGCTCGGTCCTTGGCCGAGTCCCCAACCCTGAATGTCTCCGCATCCTGCAGGGAGGTGGGAGGCATAGAAATTAGCACAGTGGGGGACCGGGCTGCAGACCCAGCGCGTGCTATGGCCACCCAAGGAATGAACCAGAACATGACCTAACACCCAGAGCCCATGTGGTGCTCAGCAAGAGGCTGGGTACTTCTGAGCCGGGTGGGGAGGGGACAGAGTGGGAGGACTCAGTCCTGTGAACCACTGTCAGGGCCTGAGTGTGAACAAAGAGGAGGGCCGTGGGGAGCTCAGCCTTGTCATGGAAGGATCATGGGAAGGACCATGGGAACACAGTCTTCAATACAGAGCAGACAGAAGGACAACTATGGACTCAGGGCCTTGAGCAAGAGACGTGAGGGGGAGGGAGGGCCCTGGGGAGTCAGGCCTGTGGACACACGGCCCACGGCTTGCTAGGTGGGGTCTAGCAAGCAATGTTTGGGTGGCAAGGGCTTGTCGCTGTCTGCTTGTCTTCCAGGAGCTGTTTCCAAAACAAGGGGGGAAGCCAGAGCAGAGCATCGCTGAGGCCCTGGGAGCGCTTAGCTGGCGCCAGCTGAGCCTGGCGGCCAGACCAGCACCGGAAGAGAAGGAGGCCTAGCCCCTCATTCACAGGTGGGGAGTGGGCCAAGGGCCCATCATGAGGCTTCTTTGTGGAGTCGGCAAGCGCCCTAGTGGCACCTGCTGTAGCCCTGGGGCTGCCCTTGGCTGAGTTCCCAGACATAGATGCCTCCACTCCCTTCAGGAAGACGGAGAGGACAGAAACCGGCCTCCTGAGCGTTGTCCCGTTCCTGTCCTTTGCCTTGTGGAGGCTGTACTGGAACAAGGCTTCACAGGGCACAGCTGCCAACATGGCTGCCCTGCAGGATGGGAGGAGATTCTGTACCTGTTATGTCTTGAGGGTGATGGGTGTCCACCAGCCCCAGCCTGCACAGCGACCATGCTTGAGGGCCTCAGAACGTCAGCTGTGCTCAGCCTAGTTCCAAGGACCCCACACCGTGGTGTTTTGCCCTTCCTGGGCACTGTTTGGGTCTAGCTGGTGGTGCTAGAGTAAAGGACTCAGCTAGAGCCACCCAAGCTCATAGTTGGTGGCTGGGCTCAAGGGTTTCTACATGTGGACAGTGTCTCCCGGGTCTGCAGAGGGCTGGCGGCCTCCAGATGCTGAGGAGAGGGGCTGGCTGAGAGAGCGCTCAGAGTGACGGCAGACGCTGCAGCGCCAGCGTAAAGGAAGAGAGCTGCGCGTCGCTGGCCGCCTGCCCAGCTTTGGCATACCCTTTAACCCAAAGGCTGACTTCCCGTTCAGGGTCGAGTCACCCTGTGAATTGAATGTGTTGGCCGCTGACCGGAGGTTTGCTTGGCAAGCCCTTCCCTGCAGCGCGTAGCTCTCTGTCATTTGTCCTTAGTTGGGCTTTTTTTAGCATGAGGCCGACAGCATTGACCTTGTCTCTGTGACCTACACTGGTTGTGAGGAATAGACTAAGCTTGGGGCTTGCTAATGGCCTCGGCGTTGGCAGCCATCTTAGCCAGGTTTGCTGGACTCTGTGGGCGGCCCCCAGCTGAGCAAAGCCCCGGCATGCAGGCCTGCGGGGGGGGGGGGGGGGGGGGG